GACCAGTGCCATCAACCTGCAGCTCCAACTGTCTGCATGGCTTCCCCTGCTCCTCCCCACTTGGCTAGTCATCCTTCAGGGTTCTGTGCAGTGGAAGCCTTCTTCAATGAACCTCCCTGATATTACTTGACCTTGACCTGCCCTTCCTCTATCAGAGCACTTACTAACCTTCCTTCTGTCTTGGGTAGAATCCCCTGGAATTGGGGCCTGAAGCGGGAGTTCTGATGCACCCTGACTTCTTGAGTGTGTGATCTTTAGGAAACACCCTAAGGGAAGAAAGGACCCTTGATTCTCCCATTGAAGAGCAGCATTAGTACCCCTGAGAACTTGCTAGAAATGAACATTGTTAAGCATCACTGTCTTAGAAACACTAGGGGCGGAATCCAGTAATCTTTTAACAAGCCTTTTAGGTGATTCTAATGCACACTATGATTTAAGAGCCACAGGGAAGAAAATAAAGTCATACAAGAACATGGTGCCAAGTCTAGTCTTAATGTGATCTACAAAGGACTCTGGAGCATACTCTGCATCTTGGAGCTGTCCTTGCCTCTGGCAAGATGGTGGCCTTCTGCATCCCTGTGTCTGCCACTCACTGACTGCAGGCTGCCCCTGGTGGGGAAGGGTTCGTCATTCCTTGGGCAGGCAGCTCCATAAGCTGAGTGCAGTTCTCCCAAGGAGAGATAGCTGTGGACTAGGAAGGTCAGTGCTGGGGTGAAGATATAAATGCATCAACCCACTGAAGGGCATCTAAGGAGCAGTGAACTGACAGCCTCTCCCACTGTTGCCTCTTTTTATCTAGTTATTGCTGCCTTCTTCATCAGACTGAGTGTTTCAGGTGACCAAGAAGAATGTGTTTCTTATTTACTGTTGACTCACTGTGCCTGTTGCCGGTGTGAAACTTAATCATTATTTATGCAATCAATTGATTAAACAAATGCTAATTGATTACCTACTGGGCACTGTTCTAAGGTCTGGTGAGCAAGACAAAGTACCCATCCTCATCAGGGAAATGACAAACACAAAAATGTGTATACGTACATCTTTGTATAGGTATACATCTACAAGTATACTGTCAGATAGTGATAAATGCTATGGGGGAAAACAACCCAGAGTGGAAGATGGAGAGAAACAGGAGGTGATATTTTAGACAGAGCAGTTACAGAAGGAATCTCTGAGAAGGTGACATTTGGGATGAGGTATAAATGAAGTGAGGGATTGAACCATGGGATATTTGAAGGCAGCAGCAATTTAATGTAAATTTAAAATTATTCCAAAATAAAACTCTTTAAAAAAAAAAAAAGGGCTATCTCAGGGAAGAGCATTCCAGGAAAAGGGAATAAATGGATGAGTCACAGGAAATACCTGACACTTCTGTCAGGAGGTGGAGGGAAGAGATGGACAGGTGTCATGCTGCTGCCTGCTTTCATTTATTTTAAAAATTAACTTTAAACATTTATCAACGCATACACACGAAAGATTAAAAATCAAATAGGATAGAAAAGGCTGTAATGAAAAGCAGCTGTCCTGGTCCCCACCTGGTCCCTCTCCCCAAGGGCAATCAGTCACCATTACTGTCTTGATTTAGCTTGCCTCACTCCAATCTCTCCTTTCCTCTTCTCCAAATATAGTTGTAGAATATTTTAAATTCTTCTATTGGTTATCTTTGTAATTTTCAGCAACATACTCAAACTCTAGATCTTCTTTCACCAGTGTTGGACACATATCTTGGCTCTTTGTAATTTCAGGATACTGAATTCTCCCTCCCTACTCCAGTATACAATAGCTGATCCTCTTGGCAAGGTTTGTGCCATATATCTTCTGAACACAGCTGATTGGAAGTGGTACACAATGCAAGCTAGGCCAGTAGAGTTGTCTCTTTTGGAAATGCTGAATTGGAACAAAAACATCTCATGTTAACCTAGGTAGGTTCCTTCCTTCCTTCCTTCCTTTCTCTCTCTCTCTCTCTCTCTCTCTCTCTCTCTCTCTTTTTTGGTGGTTCTTGGGTTTGAATTCAGGGCTTTGTGCTTGATAGGCAGGTGTTCCACCACTTGAGGCATACCTCCAGCCCTAGGTGGGTTTCTGGAATGAAAATAACATAAAAACTCAAAAATCTAGCTCCCACCTTGATGATGAAAGAATAGAGAAGTCATGATGGTTTATCTTGATTGTCAACTTGATTGGAATGAGAAGCAAAAGGAGATTAGTAAAGCACAGCTCCAGGTGAGTCTAAGAGGGTGTTTCTACAGAGGATTCACTGATGTGGGGAGACCTGCCCAGAATGTGGATGGCACCATCCCATGGGGTGGGGGCCTGGATGAAATAAAAAAAAGAAGAAGGAGAAGACCTGCTAGCTCAGGCTCTCTCTCTCTCTCTCTCTCTCTCTCTCTCTCTCCTTCCTAGCACCATGATGTGAGCGGCTCTGCCTCACCATACCCATACCCCACACTCTCCCTACCATGATGGACAAAAACCCCTGAAACTACAAGGCTTCCCTTAAGTTGTTTATGTCAGATGTTTTGCCACAGTGATTGTCAAGCTTCCTGATGGCTTGTATTTCCTACTGCCAGTTCCTTGCCGAGGCCTAATTGTATCTTTGCCTTATGATTCTTTAAAATATCTCCATATCTTTACACCAAATCACCCATTTTCTTAAGCCAGCTCCAGTGAGTTTCTGCAGTTTGCAGACAAGATGTGCTCAATGATACATATCCCCCACTGCACCATCGAGTGTGAACCTTGTCTTTTGTCTAAAGTGCTGAGCAGACGGCCTTGCTCATAGTAGGTGGTCAAGAAACAATTACTGAATTGAGTCAGTGGTAACTACTGCCTCCTAAATGACACAGGGCACTCACTCCTCCAGAGTTGAGGTAACTGATGTATGAACAGGTAAACAGGACACAGCACAAATAGGTACGTGTTGTCAGCTACTCAGGAGCTCAGAGTCCAACAGAAGAAAATAGTCTTAATAAGAGAATGACAAGCTGTCTGAATACCTCTTAGTATCCTGCCAGATGAGCAGAATCAAAAAGGATCATCAGCAAACACAGAGGAAGAATCTGGCTGCATCACTTCAGGGCAAGATAGTGCTTTGAATCTGTTGGGTCGGATCAATCTGGTGGAAGAGCCCTCTAGTGGTGAAAATGAGCAATTTTATCTATGCTGAGATGAGGATGGTACACACCCACACTTTCTATTGAATGTAAAGGTGAGGTCACCCCCAGTACATGGGAGGCATTATCAGGAACTAACTGGCGGACTCCCTGCCTGACTCCCATGCAGTCAGGTGTTCCAACTTGCTCCATGTACAGATTCAGAACTTCCTACCCTGAGCTCAGCTTTGCACTGACTGGACTTACAAAGGATGATCCAGTGTCACCAGACTTACAAAGGATGATCCAGTGTCATCAACACTGCCCTACTTTGGGAGAATACTTTTCTGGTACCAAATGGAATGAGAAAAGAATAACACATATCTTGGAATGGCGGGTTTGGTCACTAGTAATTCTTTCATATTATTTTAGCTTCTGAAGGTAAGGAAGGAAATTTTTGTTCATTTTATAAAACCTCCAAGGAAAGACTGACTTCACCTTCGTGTTACACATGTCTTTTTCTTAAAAAAGTAATTAGTCAAGGCAGTAATAATAATCAATAGTAATAAAATCAATTAAAAAGTAATGATAATTGAGAAAATTATTTTTTTCTTAAAAAAAGTAATAATTTGAGAAATGAATTTCTTCACAGGAAAAAAACAATATTAAATATTAAAGTGAAAATTAAAGTAAGGCTTTGCATGCCTTTCCCCACTATCTTTTGTCATTCTTTTGGGATTTGGTTAGCTGTGGTCCTGGTCCCAGCTTATGTGTTCTATCTTGGTTATGTGGCAAAATTTCAGGAAACCACGACATACATTTGCAACTAAATGCATATAGGTGTGCAAACCTGCATATTCAAACCTACACTCTACCTACAGGCCTGCACATCTGTATGGGCACACCGCTGTATATTCATAGCAAACATTCATGTGACCTACAACGCTGCCTGCAAGTGTATACATACTTGCTACCTCTACTTGCAGTTACTTGTGTATCTGCTTTACTTCTACACCAAATTCACCCATATTCAGAAGTCATAACAAATGACCTTAACACCAAAATAAAAGTAACAAACTCACTGAGAGATTGTGAGTTGCATTTGAGAACTCTTCAATACTTTGCTGCTACCAGTTGTTTGAACAGAAGCTCTCAGACAGCCAGAGATGGCACCATGGGAGCATGTTGTGTCTACAATTATCTCCCATTATATGTTTGTCCAGTTAAATTAACACTCAGACACAACAGTTGGTCATGGGCACATCTCAGGGACTGCAGAAGCAAACCGAGCATCCTCAGTTCCAAAGAGTCAACCTCTGAGTATCAGTCCTATCATGCCACAAGAAAAAAAGTGATTCCAATTCTGTGGAATGCCTTTGGTCAAGGCAGCGTGTGCTCATGTCTATGCTAGAATGCACACTGTGACCCTTTGCAACACCAGCTCTCTCCAGAAGACAGAGCTTCCGGGTGCACTTTGGACTAATAAGGGAAGTAGGCCTTACTCCACCTGCTTTATGGTCTGTGTTAATGAATGAACCTCACAAGAACCTTTAGAAAGAATCCCAAATATCACTGGCACTCGCACCTTGAATTCATCACCCCCTCAAATGTAAATGTGTTCAAGTATCTCAGAGATGTATTCGGAGATTCATCCCTTACATCCCTGTGCCCAAGGTCCTTGATATGTGAACCAGGGAGTCTATATACACGTAGCTCTCTCAGCCTTTTAGGAATCTGTGTACATATGTATATGAATAGTTCCAGCTGTGTGCCAGTACAGATGTGCATGCCTGATCTGAACGCGTCTCCCGTGTAAACATCAGAGCTCCAGAGAAAGGAGGGTAGACATATTGGTTTGTTTTCTGGGGAACCAAACTGAGGCAGACGATACACAGATGTGTTCGTGACAACACTTTTTGCTCACCCAAGTGAGCCACAGAAGAGTCACCCAGAGTCTCGGGTCCCTTTAAGAAGACTCGGTCTTTCGGGTCTTGTGCCTCCCCAGTGGGCTCCCCCGGGTTCCCGCAGCAAAAGGCAAACTTGCCTGGCTGCGGGCCCCAGGGGTAGAGAGGGGTGGTTGGAGGATCTGCGCCTGGTGGGCGCTGAGAGCGCGCAGGAGTGCGCTGCGGCTTCTTCCCTCTTCGCCTTTCCTTAACCCTTCCCGGAGCGGCGGGCCCCGAGCGAGCGAGGAGCGAGCGTGCTGCAGCGCCCAGGAGCCGCGGCGCTGACCGCCCTGGGCTCCCGAAACTTTGCGCGGAGCGTGGGCTTGACCAGGCGGAGCCGAGCCAGGGAAGGGCTGGGAAGGGACAGGGAAGCTGCAGCTGGAGCGATCCTAGAGCCCCAGGTCCCCGGCGCTGAGAAGGCGGGTGCAGCCGCAGGGGAGCTGTCCGTTCAGCACCACGGACCCTCCCCCCCCCCCCCCGCCCCAGCTCCCGGGCGGCAGGAAGACGGGGGCTGGCAACAGGCGGGGAGCTGTCCGTTCAGCACCACGGACCTCTGCCCTGCGTGAAAGCGCCCGGCCCCCGCCCAGGACGCTGCCTTTTCTCCAGTTTGCGCGGGGGTGTAGGGAGCAGGCGGAGAGCTTTCCTGGGAGGCTGGGGAAGCAGCGAACACTCTTCTCAGCGACTCGCCTCCCAGCAGTGCTATTTTTTGCCATCCGCCCTCACCCCCCAGCACACGCGCCCGCACACACACGCTCGCACGCACACACACGCGCGCACACACGCGCGCGCGCGCACACACACCAGATCTCTCTGGATTTCTTTGCCTTGAGTCTCCCGAGGCTGTGAGGAGCCGGGGCGCATCTCAAACCGAGCTGACTGCTCTGGGCTCCGAAGCCATGCCCTGCACGAACCCTCGTCCTTACCAAGCTCCTGAGGAATGAAAGGAACTCAGGGACCCTCCGAAGGCAGCGGTGATGTGGACCAACCCCCTGGAACCCGCACCCTCCCGAGGGCCATAGACGACCCAGGGAACTGGAGAGCGCTCAAGACAGGAAATCCCAGCTTTCCCAAAGTCCCCTTGGATGCTGGCAAAAGGAGATTTGGATTTTTGGAAGCGCCTTTCTTAGGTTGCCCAGCTGCAGAGTGATTTCCCCTCTGGCACTGAATCTCCCCCTCCAACCCCCAGCTGTCCAGAGTACCATGAAGAAGTATGAGGATGTGTGACCGAGGTATTCAGATGTTGATCACCACTGTAGGAGCCTTCGCAGCTTTTAGTTTAATGACCATTGCAGTGGGCACGGACTACTGGTTATATTCCAGAGGTGTGTGCAGGACTAAGTCTACAAGTGATAATGAGACCAGCAGGAAGAATGAAGAAGTAATGACCCATTCGGGGCTATGGAGGACCTGCTGCTTAGAAGGTATTTACAAATTCCTCTCAATGGTTCTGAATAATCCGACTTGTGGTGGCGTTCGGGGAGAGGGAGGCAGTGATTGGGAAAGAAGAATAGTTCTGAATATTTCTGAGAATGTGCAGGTGTCCAGACTCTGCTCCCAGGAATACTGATGCTGGGTGGGATGAAAGGCTTGGGTCTCACTGATTGTTTTTGGTATAAGCTTCATGTGATGAGATTTTGTAACACTCTAAGCAGCTTCTGCAGTTGAGAAATCTTCAGATCCAAAAATCCGTAAGCATATGGTGAACTGGTTAGAAAAGAGATATTTAGATTTGCCTAAATTGCATGTTAGTGGGGGAGGGAGTGCTGAGGAAAGGAGGAAGGGAAGGCAGGAAGGTAGTGAGGCAATGGGGAGCATGATCTGACCTGGTGCATTCTGAGCTGTTTCCTTATTTCTCAACATATTCTTTTCAGTTTCTTCTGAGTTTAATCTAAATAGATATGGTCATGAATTTCCATTGCCAAGCGATTCAGGGTACCATATGTGAACCCCCACCCCATCTCCCCAACACATTTAAGGAAAACTTCCTTATTAATATATGCTTCATTATTTTGGATCAAAACAAAACTGACTTCATTTCTCTAAATCATCCCCAAATCCAGTGAATATAATTCTGTGACATTTACACAAGCTTGATTCTCCAGGAATTACAGCTCATCACTTCTAATTCTAAGAAATTAAAGGATTTGTTGTAAGCTATAATGAGGAGGGATAGAACGCCTTTGGGTAGACCATGTCACTATTAAACTTGCTTTCTCCTCATCGGGAGTCACTCTCAACATCATTGGGCAATGCCTGGATGTCGTGGGGAGTGAACAGAAAGATAAAGAAGCAAATCAAAACTCTGTGGACCACCTATCAGAGGGAAGGCACTGGATTAGAGGGGCAGGGGGAGTTTTTGGGCTTCCAAGGAACCTGTGAAGCTGCTCACAGGGATAGGTAAGAAAATGGGTTTTCCGTGTGCTCTCCTCCTCCTGCTTGCCATTGGTTCTCCACACCTGCATTCCCAGTGGCTTGCATTTGTCAGGGATGCTTGAGAAGTTGCATTTCTGTAAATGACTTAGGAAATCATGCTATGACATCACTTGCTAGTGTAATATTGCATCATTCCCTGGCCTCCTTCCCATGTCCTGGTGCTCTGAACGCCTGCTCTCTGACTGTAGTGCTACTACGATTCGTTCTGCTTCCAACACAGATTTGCAACTGGTGGGAAAGCCAGATAGGAAAGGGCTCCTTTACATGCAAGCAGGATCATGTGAAGTCTGAAGATCTGAAAAATGCTGAAAACTCTCTGTGTGATCTTGATTTAGATGTTTATTCTTCCCAACTCTGTGTGTAATCTTGGAAATAATTGGTTTCGAATTAGTGGTCTTCAGTTGGCACCATCCAATGATAATACTGCACCCAGGGTACTGGCAGAAATTGTGAAGTAATGCTTTCCTGAACCTTGACAAAAATCTAATATTTGTGATCATTTACAATCAGGTATGGTAAAGTTATTTACCTTAGGGAAATCCCCTAATTCCCTCTCCTATCTTGACAGTAAAGAATTCACTCATCTGCAACAATGTGATTTTGTGGATGCCTACCTAGTTCTGGAGATGGCATTAAAAAATATGACTCCTCCCTAGCCAAAACTGGCTCATAGGTGTATCATGTTTTAGTCATTTACAATTCTTCTGTGTCTTGGAACCAGACCTGGAAATGCACAGTTAACCAGTTTTGATTCTCCTTATTATATTCTATGAAAAAACAAAAACTCTATCAGAGAAGTAGGACCTAACATTGCTGAGCCATTGCTCAGAGTTTCCCAACTGATGGTGTCTTCTTTCTCCAACACCATACTCTATACCTCCAGTTTGTACAAGGAATCAGAATCCCATCTAGGCATTCTGTAGGGCGAGTATTAGAAGTAAGAAATGGAATCAAGAAGGAATTGGATGTGTTCTTGAGCAGGGGAATTCTTTTGAGAAAATTTGTTGCAGTCATCACACAATTTGTCCTAGATAATTCTTTCTACATTTTGTGGAGTGTTATATGCAATAAGTTGCACAAACCCTCATGAATATATAATTAACATTAGATGGGCTTGGCTAAAATTTGGAGCCAAGGTTTTTCTTGATGTCCTGAATACATCAAGTGTTCAAAGAATTTGCAAGAGCCTCTGACTTCTGCATGGTAAGACACCTGCAGTAGACAGCATCTGTCCTAAGCATTTCCATCTTCTGTACTGTGAAGATGTACAGTATTGCTGATTCAGTATCTCCTGTCTACCCCACAACCTCAACATCATAATTTTCCTGGTACTTTAAGTATCAAAGAATAACTGCAAGGGTCTTGTAACCCCATTTTCTTACAGATGAAATTAGAGCAGACAGTTCTTCCATATTTTTTTTAGAGCTATGAGACAATGTGGCTATTTGTCCAAAAGAAGAGAAGGCTCAGGAGGGACTTGACAGCATTCCCCAGATACCTGAAGGGCTGTCATTTAGAAGAGAGATTGGAAATTCTCTGTGGCCTCCAAGGGGAGAAGTAGGAGCTAGAGGAAAACAGCTTTTACCTAAATGTAAGCAACTATCCAAGGTGGGATGGGAAGCTTCAAGAGGTCCTAACATCAAAGATAGTCAAGATTAAGAAAACATCAGTTGTTCCCAAACTCAGCTTGTCATCAGACTCCCGTGAAGATGTTTTTGTTGCTTTGTTTTGTTTTAATAGATTATCAGGCTGTGCAACTAGATTCTCTGCTTCCCTAGGTCTGTGATGGATCCCTGGAAGCTGAATTTCCTGTATTTCTTCTGAGCAATTATGATATTGAAGCTAACATGTATTGAATATCTGCAGTGGCCTGGGGATGACTATGTGTGTTTGTGAGGTCACATCACTCAAGTAAAAGAAGGGTATTTCCAGTTTTTGTTTCTCTCGCCGGGCAGTATGCCCTTTACACTCAGCACTTACTTGGCACTAGCACTCATCGTTTCTAATAATTTTTGAAAACTTAGTTCCTTCGTCATCTGAGGAACTAGACAATGCAGGTACTGTTACCACCCTCATTTTGCAGATGAGGAAACTGAGGCCTGGAGCAGTTGCATAACTTGCCTAAGATCACACACCCCAGCTCAGCCCACCCTGCTATTCCCAGCATTTGCTAAAGAATGTTTTATTCACATTCTGGTGGATGGTCTGCCAGCCGTACAACAAAAGCTCATGAGAATGACCAGACACATGGGTTTCTCCATTCAGAAGTCCCAAGTCTGGGCACACAGGGCATGCCTGAGCTAGCCACCAGACTAGCTCAGAGGCAGCAAAGGACACAATTTGAATAAGAAAGCTATCAACCTATGTAGAGATTCCCATAGTGAGAAACCGAACGATCGCCTGACTCATTATCTGGAAAGCATGTACAGCATTCACAGGGCCCTGGCCTGCTGCATGCTTTCAATGGCAGTGTTTTCCATGAACCTGAATGAGAATGTGTTCGATATGTTCCTCGCTCATTATGAGAGACTCTGAAGTTTTAGATCCAATCACAGCAATGTCTTCAGAAGGTGGAAAGACTGCTAGTAGAGTAGTCAAGAACCCTGGGTGCTAATTACTTTTCTGCCACCCACAGTCATGGGAATTGTGCATGTTATTTTCCTGCTTTGGACCTCAGTTTACCTAGTTCTAAGATAAGAACTTCAGATAAGACTAGGGAATAGTGAGTCCAATTGCCCACATGGCCTAGGCAGGTAATGTAAAGTATGAAGCAAGCAGTTCACAATTCTCTTAACTCAGTTCTATGGGAAAGGGTAACAGTACAACTCAAATTTAAGACAACTGAAATTTGGTCTCAGTGTGGGGGCAATAGGGAGTGGTGGGGACTTTGGCCAACTGGAGTTCACAAACGCAATCTAAAAAAACAACAGTTACTTGACTTCAATTGATTTCTATCCTGGGGAGATGTGCACCAAATGTGACTTGATATTCTGATAAAAGAAAAGCCAGGGGTAAACTCTTGAATTCTAAAATGTAGCCAACTAATTTGACATGGTACCAGCCAAATCACATTTACATTGTAGCTGAATTTTGCCCATAGGGTACCATTTTTGGGCCCTGAAAATTACCTAAATGTTCTTTTGATCCAAATTTCTGATATTTTCCTTCTTGATTCCTGAATTACTCTTTCTAAGTCAATAATCAATTTTTCAACTCATTAAAAATGGCTACAAATAAAAGAAAACCCACTTAGAATTTTAGAACAGAGAGCTTAAAGTTAGGGGGAAAAGGCTCAGTAAACTGCTATTTCTGCTCCAGATGGGCCTGACTGACACCAAACATCTGCCTGAAAAACCAAAAAAAAAAATTAGCCAGTCATTAGAAGTTCCCCCATATTTCCAAATCTCCAGATGGCCGACTTTTTTCATCCAGATGGGGTTCCAGCTTTATTTATGTGTTCAGAATCCTTCGAGGAGGCTGTGAAGATGTGATTGAGGAAGAAGGGGAGAGAGACATAGCTTTCATGAATATTCCTGTGTGCCAAGCCCTGTGCTGGCTGCTGTCAGATTTGTTACCTAACACTTTCATGTCTTGTTTCTCCCCCAGTAGAATATAAAGTCCATAAGTACAGAGGTCTTGTCTGCTGAGGACAGTTATATGTCCCTAGAGCTTAGAAACAGTACTAAGGAGTCACATATGTTCTGCTCCTCCAGCCCTAGATTTAATTTGGGACCTTTCCTTAGCCATGGTGCAGAATGTGCTGGAGCTCTCTTCCCTACTCCTGGCCTTCTCCCTGTTCCTTTCCCTGTACTCTCCCTCCTTGCTTACAGAGCCCAAGAGACAAATGTGAGAGGGAAGAGGACTGTAGTCTTAAGACAGGATGGGAGCAAGTGACCATGACTGTGTTTGTAGCTTGAGTCAGTACTGGGCAGGTGATAGAGGTGTGGTTGTTAAAATGTTGACATACTTTCCCCTGTTAGCAAATGAC